GAGGACAACTTCTGGGCCATGTGTCCTAGATGGCCCCTGGGCCCCGGGTGGCCAGGAAAAGGCAGTCACTGAGTCTGGAGAAAGGACCCAGGAGGGCTTGGGTTTTCTCCCTAGAAGTCCACTCATCCCTGAGCTAAGAGCTGGGCTGAGTTTAGCTGAGGAGCGCCGTCACCATCATTTGTTGTGGAAGGCCTGGCCTTGGGCTATCCCACCCAGTCAGAGTTTAATGGGAAGAAAAGGTGACTTTTTATTTATTTATTTATTTATTTATTTATTTATTTATTTATTTACAAAAAGCAAAAGAACTCTCAAGGCTAAAGAGCAGAAATGGGCACGACAGAGTATCTGCGAGCCCCTGGCAGGTACTGCAAACGGTCTGTTAAATGGCTGGAAGTCGAAGTAAAGCCATCAGCTTCTCCGGAGCAGGAGTCCACAGCGGCAGCAGCAGGACACGCTGTGAGCAGCTGGGACTTCTCGCTGGCCAGGAGCACTTGTTTTGTCCCTGGGTAAAAGCAGTAGCCCCGACAGTCTGCTCCCAATTATCTGCCTGTGGCTTCTCTGAGGTGGGATAACTGCTGCTGAGGGGGCGGGACTGGGGACAGAGGGGAAGTGGGGACAGGGGTGGGGAGGGTGGGGACTGGGGACAGAGGGGAAGTCGGGACAGCGGTGGGGAGGGGGGAAGGGCCCAGGCTCGCAGGGGGCAGAGGTGGGAGAAACCAGGACATGACACGTTATCTGTGGCCGTGTAACAAACATGCAGTGGCTTCAAACATGAAGATGAAAAACATGTATTTCCAGTCCTCATGGTTTCTGTGGGCCCACCAGGCTCACTGGGCAGCACTCCCCTGGGGTCTCCTGTGCCCGTGGCATTCGGGTGGCAGCAGGGGCTGGAGGCATCAGAAGCCTTGACTAGCCTGGGCGTCCTAAAGCACGCGGTGCCTGTGTCTGGCGCCCAGGCCCACATGGCGGGAACAGCTGGGGGATGGCGGCCACACCTTCTCACTGTGCGGCGAGCCTGGCTCCTTCCCTCCGCGGTGGTCTCACAGTAGTGGACTTCTTACACCGTAGCAAATATTTCAGATCGTGTGTTTCCAGCGTCTAAGACAGAGCTGCAAAGCTTTCTTTGACCTGCCTCACAAGTCAAACAGTGTTACTTCCACTGTACTCTAATGATTAAAAGGGCCTGCCAAGATCCAGGGCCAGAGAGACTACACAAGGGTGTGAATTCTGGGAGGCGAGGTTCATGGGGGGCCATGTTGGGGGAACTGGCAGCCACAGTGTCGAGCTGTGGGGCTGGGGCTGGGGTGGGACAACACCAGCTGGGGGTGGGGGCGGGGGTACGTCCGTCAGCCCAGCTTCCAGGCAGAGCAGAAGCAGAAGTGACAAGAACAGCCGCTTGGCTCACTGGTACCAATGATACCCTCTAAACCTCAGAGGGTAGGGCTGTGTGGGACAAAGAACCAAGAAACCTGGATCCTTGTCCTGGCTCTGACATTCTCTGGCTGTGTGTCTTTGGGCAAGTCCCCAGACCTCTCTGGGCACTGGTTTCCTCACGTTAAAATTAAGGTAATTAGATAAAAGTCACTCGAAGTTTCCTCTCGCCTCTGAGCTAAGAAATAGAGCATGTTACATGGGCTCATCACAGAGCTCAAGACTCTCACAAGAGGCAAGGAGACAAGCGTCCCAGGGCCATCCTCAGACCAGGCATGAAAGTTAGAGGCGCCAAGTCACCGGTCACCCATCTTCCCACCTTCCTGCAGTAATCCTTGTGGCTAATTGATACGTCCAGCTCAGGGGACCCACACTTTCCTTCCTGACATCATGTGTGTGCTTGTGTGTCTATGTACACGTGTGTGTTCTTGTGAATGTATGTGCTTGGGAGGGTGTAAATGTCAGGCAAGTGTCCCACTACATGTTGTTTCTGCTCCAGGGAAGACTGCCAAATGGGTAGTTTATACTGGAAACAGCCTGGAATATCTCACTATTTATATGACTATGTGTTGTATGGCTTTTTAATTTAGCCCTCATTCCAAATGCATGACACGTCCTTTTGACACCTTGAAGAAATGTTTCTCAGATGGCAGGCTGGGCACAGCAGCTCCAGGCAGCTCCGGGAAAACACACAGCCCTGAAAATGAAAAGTGATTGAGGTCCTCTTAGGAAATGCCTTGCTTCGGGCTACTTGATGTGGTCATTTATTAAGTGACTTAATCAGGAAAGTAACGCAATCTCAGCGCAATTAAGTCCCTTTCTGGGCTCGCCTGGGTCCTCCCGATTAGGAGGCGGGTAATGCGCTCATAATGGGACGATTGGAAGAGAATGGCTTCCCAGGGCTGAGGAATGGTTAGCTGCTCAGCCAGGGGAACTCGCTTGCTGAGAAATGTACTTTAAACCACTGACTCCGGGGACACTTCCCTCGGATTGAATTCAAGCAGCTTCTAACATGGTTTTACTTGCCCTGCAGTGGAACGAGTTAAGGTTATAGAGTCAGAGCCCATCGGAGTGTAAAGAATCTCAGAGGTCTCCGAGCCCAAGCTTGTCATCTCTCTGCCAAGGAAACAGACTCTAGTGCCCAAGGCTACACACCTTGTCTTTGCAGATCTGGGGCCAGGTGCTTGGCTAAACCACAGGGGAAAGAGACTGGGAGGCTCTGCTGGGATAGTGAGGGGACATGCTGGACCCTCCGAATAACCAGAGGTGGCACCAACAATGAGCAAGGACAAGCGGACTCGCTATCCCAGGAGAAGCACCCTGTGCCAAGTGTGAGTGGCGAGGTGAATCTCAGTGAAAGAATTGGTTCAAAAATATTTTATTGAGGCCGACTCTGTCCCAGGAACTATGCTGGACACCAGGAGCACAGCAAAGAACCCTATCTCGGTCCAGGGAGGGAGCGTCCACGGAGAGGTGTGAGGAGGAGGGCACAGTGGATGGATAAATGAATGGGTGGGAAATGAATGGGTGGATGGATGGAAAATAAGTGAATAGATGGATGGATGGTTGCCACACTTAGAAATATAGGAGAGCAATAATTCAGGAATAAGTTAGGGCCTGGACTCAGAAATCTTAAATCCTACCCTCCCTGCAAGCTTGCAACACAGCCAGAATCAATTCTCCTGTTCAAAACAACTTTATTGCCCGGCCAATGTTGCTCAGTGGTTGAGTGTCAACCTATGAACCAGGCAGACATGGTTTGATTCCCCGGTCAGGGCATATGCTAGGGTTGCAGGCTTGATCCCCAGTATGGGATGCACAGGAGGCAGCCAATCAATAATTCTCTCTATCATTGATGTTTCTTTCTCTCTCCCTCTCCTTTCCTCTCTGAAATCAACTACACACACACACACACACACACACACACACACACACACACACACCTTGCCCTAGCCCAGCCGTGGGCAAACTATGGCCCGCGGGCCGGATCCGGCCCGTTTGAAATGAATAAAACTAAAAAAAAAAAAAGACCATACCCTTTTATGTAATGTTTACTTTGAATTTATATTAGTTCACACAAACACTCCATCCATGCTTTTGTTCCGGCCCTCTGGTCCAGTTTAAGAACCCACTGTGGCCCTCAAGTCAAAAAGTTTGCCCACTCCTGCCCTAGCCGGTTTGGTTCAGTGGATAGAGCATCAGCCTGCAGACTGAAGGGTCCCGGGTTTAATCCGGTCAAGGGCACATGCCTGGGTTGCAGGCTCAGTTCGACGTGCAGGAGGCAGCCAATCAATGATTCCCTCTCATCATTGATGTTTCTCTCTCTCTCTTCCTCTCCCTTCCTCTCTGAAATCAATAAAAATATTTTTAAAAAGACTTTATTGGAAGTCCTCCGTCATCTATACCCCACCTCCCATAGCTGATGCTGCTCCAGCATTTGCCTTTCACTTCACTCCTGGTTACGCTCATCAGTGCTCCCACCAACACTAAAACCCCTGCTGCTCCTGCTCTCAGGTTGATCCCATTCTTAGAATGCCCTCCCCTCCCCCTCCATTCAGCTCCCCTGCTCACTCCAGGCCTCCCTCTGGGCCTGCCTGTGACACAGCCGAAGCTCCTCTGGGAGATGTGCTGTATCTGATGAGCCAGACTCCCCCATCCTCATTAATCCCTCCCTCAGCTAAACTGTCAGGTCAACAGGGACAGGAACTGTCTTCCCTTCAGGCCCCCACAGACTGGAACATGATCAACAGAGACTTTAGTAATAACGGGCTCTGGACAAAGTAAATGGAAGAGGACCCCAGAACAAGTGTCTGGCTTGGGCTTTCCCTAGGAAACTCTGAAACCCAGGCCTTTTTCCTCCTAGAACTTGCTTCATACAGCACCCCCTCCACCCCCTACTGTGCTTCCTGGAGCCGCCCCCCCCCGCCCTCCGCCCACTCAGAATCAGACTTGGGAGGAGGCCTAGCATGCTGGGCAGAGAGTGGGGAGGAGCCTCTTGGACAGTTTTACAACAAAAACTACTCTTCTGAGCTGGTCAGTGACTCAGCATCTTGGATCCCAAATGAAAAAAAAAAAAAAGAAGAAGAAGAAGGTTTTGCATCCTGGCATGCAGGAAGCGCAGAGGGCCCAGCTGACTTTGTGAAGCCACCAAGCCTGGCTCGAATCCGGGCACCTGAAGCCTGACCTCCAGACCAGTCAGGAATGGGGAAAGAGCACCTCCTGTTGACGGGCTGGGCCACCCATTTTATAGATGGGAAAATTGAGGCCTAAACAGATCAAAACCTCTTAAGGGTTCCCCAGATCACTCCTCTTTCTCCCTGATGTCTGGCCAGAGCCACTCTGAGCAGGTGGGAGGTGAGGAAGTAACCCTTCTTCAGAACAGCGGCGGCCCGGTCCCGAGGGAAGAGCCTCCAAATGAACATCAGTCTCACAGGGTTCCTTTACCAACTTTTGTACCTTGGGCATCAAGTGAATCCTTCTCAGAATATTCTGATGCGTAAAATAAAACGTTCATGATTGCAAAAAAAACACCGTTATGTTGAAGTTATACAAATAATTTTAAAGCGATATAGTAATATATGTGCTTCTTTATTAACATTTTACATCGCAAGATCTAGCAGTAGGGTCTAATAAATACCATAATTTCAAAGTAATGATGAGCGTAAGTATTTCAAGATGTCTGCATCGAGGCTCATGTGATGTGACAATATCTGTGGTTTCTGCTGGTAGGGAAGGTATAGGTATTGCCCAATACTATGATGGTTTATGCCTACATTCTTTTTTTAAAAATATATTTTATTGATTTTTTACAGAGAGGAAGGGAGAGGGATAGAGAGTTAGAAACATCAATGAGAGAGAAACATCGATCAGCTGCCTCCTGCACACCCCCTACTGGGGATGTGCTCGCAACCAAGGTACATGCCCTTGACTGGAATCGAACCTGGGACCCTTCAGTCCGCAGGCCGATGCTCTATCCACTGAGCCAAACTGGTTGGGGCTATGCCTACATTCTTGAAGGAACTGCTAAATTTCACTTAGAGGTTAGTGCAAATAAAGATGCAATGTTTTCCCCATTCAAGTTCACAGACACTTTGAATCCTGTCCGCAGAATGCTAACTAAGCATTTTCACAAAGTGACTACTTAATGGTGGGATCTTAGGCAAAAGCCTGACATTCTCCTACCACAAACTTAGTGCCCAGCACTCTTCCAGACACTTGAGAAAATGTGCCCTGAATTGAACCAAATACTTCTCAGCCTTCCCACCATAGCAGGGAGTAGAGATAGTACACTATGCCTGTTCCTACCCCCAGTTCAGACCAGCTCACTCCCGAAAACTCAAAAACTTTTCATAGAGGGGCTTTATTTTCGTTTGAATATGTTTGGAAGCAGAGGGAGGTGTTAGATAACAGGCCCTGTGACTACTGAAGGGAGACCTGTGCAGTGGCAGGAAACGTTCAAGAACAGTTCATCCTTATGAAAATATCCTCCCTCTGACACCAGCCAGCTCAGGAGACGTGGGAGGGGGCCGTCGGAAATGGATCTCCATTCCAGAATGAGCCAATTCTTTCAATGAGGTGGTTTCCCTCCTGCCTGGGCCATCGCTGAAATAAAACACCAGTAAGGTGTTGTTGCTCTGGCTTGTCCTTGCATCCAGCTCAGGTTGCCCCTGAGACCTGCCTGGAGGAGGGGCAGAGGCCCTGGCCTTTGCAGCAGTGCTCCGTTGTGCTGGCATCGATTAACTTGCCTGGCATCTGGGCAGTTCTGTGGATTCCTTTTTTTCTTCTGCTCCTGCCAAATCATGGTCAGCGTATCCAACATAAACCGAACAGTTATATTGCTCAGCAATACAGGGTAGTGGTTATATGCCCAGACTCTGCAAGCAGACCTTGGTTCGACTCCCTCCTCTGCCACTTCACCAATTTAACCTCTGTGCACCACAAGCACCTAGTTCGCCATCTGTAAAATGGGCCCAATAATAGTATCCTCTTCATAGAGTAGTCACAGCAGTCAATGAAATCCTGCTTCTGAAGCCCTTTGCTCAGTGTCTGCACATTGTAGGCATTCAATAAAATATAGCCATTCTTTATAAATTAATAAAAATCTTATTTTGAACTCCTACTAGTAAAGGTACCATGCTGGGTGCTGGGCCATTTTCATGTTCAAGGACAGACAAGAACTGCAAAGGAGAAATGATTTAATCCAGTTAATTTTGAAAAACTATAGGAAAGGAAAAATATTTGATGTCTGAGGAAACTGACTCCATTGACTAAAGGGAAAAAGGGGTCCCTGCCTTTAATGAGAAGGGAGACCCCTGGTGCTATGGGATGGGGTAGGTGAGTACAAAGGTTATTCCATCCACTCTTGTGCTTGTCAGGCTAGTGGCTGTGAAGGGAGATGAAAGCCCTGTTCTTGACCCCAAAGTGGGGCTAGAGACTCCCAGAAAGCACAGGGCCTCCAGCACTCGGCTGCCCAGCAGCCTTTCCAGACTGCACCTGTGTATACCACAGATCCCGGATGAGCTCAGCGCCCGGGGGCAGGATCTGTGAACCCTGCCATTAAACGCCACCTTTTGTGCTCAGGAGCATTTTTTGTAGAGAGGGCTTTCCTCACGTTTCCCATGGGGTCTCAGACCCCCAACGTCAAGAACCACTGCTCTTCAGATTAGCTTCCTCCCATCTTGCATGGTTCTCAGACGACACTGGGAGCACCAGTCCTTTCTCTGCAACCAGACTCATTTACCATCCAGGCGGTCACCTGATGAGGCCAGAATAAATGTGCCCCGGTGGATTCTGTTAGTTCTACATATCTTGACTTTTCCCAGAAATCTCACTCTCTCACTTTGGAGAGCTAGAGGGAAGTAAGTGAAGGCCACAAACCCTAGGAGGCCTTCTCCGGTGTAACGAAGGGAGGTCCAGAAGGCAGCACTCAGCTCTGCGCTCATCAGACTTCAGTTTGTCCTAATCCTCCCTGTTGTCCAAAGCCCAGATCAAGACCACCTTTTCCAAGAAGCCATCCTTGCACACCCAGGCACACGATATGTCCTTCCTCTTGACCTCTCTGCCCAGTCATGGTGAAAGGCAGCGGTGTGTGGACTTGTTTTCTTCTGCTTCGCATAGGTTGGTTCTGTTGCCCAACTAGTCTATAAACTTCTAGAGGGCAAAACAGTGTCTTCTCCCCCTGACAGAGCCTAGCACAGAGCTGGACATAGAGGAGAAGCACTTTAATTACTCCTTAGACTGATACTTTCGGAAAATAAGTATCTTTGCTTCATTGACCAGACTAGAATGAGATTGAATCGAATTGCTGGTGAGCACTGTCAACATTGATGGGGGTGACATCTGACCTTCTAGGAACTTCTCAGATCATTTTTAAGTGAGCTAGAAAACAAAAGATAGTGGAAACTATAGATTCCTTAAGAATGCCCTCATCCCCAGCCATGTGCCAAGTAGTCACAAACTTTATAACACATTTAGCGCACAAAATTTTCCAGTTAAGAATGCTTGCTTTACAGAAGGGGGAAACTCAGTAACTGAACGTATTTACATTTTCTAGTTTCAACTTCTACCCCTCTTACCACTTGAGTTTCCTTCCCCCCCGAACACCACCAAATTGTGACTAAATTCTCATAGAGGACTGGTTTGGGGGTGACATAGATATATATGGTACATTGAGGGTGAAATGGTCCCCATGACTTCAGGAATTATTTCCTCATGTGAGTATGAATGGGTATATTCATAATTTCCTATGAATATAAGTATAGATGCATGTGTGTGTGTCCACGTGTGTATGTGTGGAGACAGGTATTTGCTTATATATACACATTACTTGTGTGTACATGTACATTCCTATTTGATTCTGTGTGCGTGTTCCTCCATCTACCCTTTGAACAAGGACCCTACATGAAAGTCGTGCTGAGGCTACAAAATATGTCTCTTAAAATACCGTAAGATAAGGCAAAACATTATGGCAGCTGAAGTTCTCCTGCTCATCTCCAAACAGGGACCCAGCCTTCTCACATACATTAGTTCATTTTCTCATCCCAAAATCCTGGGAGCAAGGTTACACCAGCTTTCTATTCTCACTAGACTGGGAAACTGACTCCATAAGATTAAGTGGCTGGCCCTTGCTCACACTGTTACTAAGTGACAGAGGCAGGATTTAGCCCAGATAGCCTGACTCCAACGCCCACACTCTCTCCAAGGCCGCTGTGGATGGTGAACTGCAGAGACCACGGCAGCCTCATGTGTACCCAGTTCCTGTCTTTTCACTGCTCCCGACCCTCTGTTCACATAACTGAACATTTTTCCCAAAATGCCTAGCCCAGGTTTGAGCATACAATAGAAGCTTGATAATATCTGTCACCTGGAAACCAAATCTGCCTTTTGACACTTAAGTCAGGTGCTTTCTGAAATAACAATAATTATATGCAATTAGGTAAACACACTACCCCTTCGCATCCTGATGACAGCAACAGCTTTAAATAGTGGGCACCTACAGTGAACCAGATGTTTCATAAACTTTATCTCTAATCCCCAGTGCAACCGTATTCAATTCAATAAGCAATTGCTGCATGCTTATTTTGTGCCAAGCACTGGATTATTGTCTTCGGTTTACAAATGAGCAAAATAAGACTCCAAGATGGAGTGACCTACTAAGGTGGTGGGTCTGAACCCAGGACCCCGGCCTGTTTGATACCAAAGCCTACATCCTCTGTTCCACCCACCCAACCTTCCCCACATGTGAGCAGTTACTGACAACGAACTGTAGTAAAATGATTAAAACAAAGATGGCAATTGCCAGAGGGCCGAGCACACACCTGTCATCACAAACCAGAATGCTACCAGAGGACATTTATTTGAGGCTAAAATTGACCCGGTCCCTCCGCAGCAGCCTCATGCGCCCGTTTCCCTGAGCCGTGTGCCCTCCCCGGCAGCGCTGTATCTTGTTTCTACATACTTGATTACAGTGGTCTCACAGCACTGTGCATAAATTAATTAGCACACATTCTTCTATAAGAAACAGCCCCTGGATTTTAGCTTTAATTTACAGAGACAACAAAGTAAAGGATTGGATTTCCAAGTTAAGAACAATCCTGGCTTTTTCCAGGTTTTCTTTAAAGATGCAGAACTTGGTAGCTGCCTTCCAATGGCTGAGTGGGAGTGCCCTCCTGCCCAGGCGTCACCCAAATGCAGAGAGCCAAGAGCAGTCACCAGCCAAGGGGAGGGGGTGTCACTGATGAGTGGGATTGATGCATTGTAATTAATGGTAATAAAAATAGATACTGCAGGAGAGAGAGAAGTGCCAAGCCAGGAATCCCTACTCCCAGATAGAATTTCTCACAGGTAATGGAAAGAAGAAAAAAAAAAAGTCACTTCTTATAGGAAACCTGATCTACACATTGCCTACAGAGGATTTTTTGTAAAGTAACTAAGGAAATACAACTAAAAACAGCAGCCCCACAAAATTAGAATAACTCTATTTAGAAAACTTTCTTTCCTGCACCCCCAGGGAACCTGGTTGGTAGTGTATAGGCAGTGAGACCTGGAATTTCTAAGAGCAGCACATTCGGTCTGTAGCGTCTGTGTAGCCCTGTGGAGGCTCCAGCCCCCAGTCCTTCTGGCTGGAGGAAGCCATCACAGGTCTCCGAGACTTCCCCTACAAAGAAGAGGAGGGCAAGAGGGGACTGGGAGGGAAGAACAGGATGCTTGAGAAGAAAGAGGGCCATTCTCCTGTAGGCCTGGTACTTCCCCGGTGTTGCTGTCGGCAAATCCCATTTGTCATTCAGGCGTCCATTCAGACATTTCGCGGGCTCCCAGTGTGTGCAGGGCAGAACCAGAATCTCCAGAGGAGACACGCGAGCGTGAAAAGCCGATGTCTGTCTCCCAAGGATGGCGTGAGCAGACCCTAGCAAACTGGTGCCCTCCGGGCTTCTGTGCGTCTGTCTCAGAGGGAGTGCGCTTCATGGACTCGCCTTAGCTCTGGTGCCCCCCTCTGCCGTGCGGGGTGTGGTTTTGGAGGGGAGGGAGGAGGGCGGCGGGGGGGTGATCAGGAGCAGCTGTAAGCCTGGGGAGGTGGGCAGGGAACTGGACCCACCCACCCACCTGGACTCTAGGACCTGCCGCGTGGGGGCGCGCGGGAGCAGAGCTGGCCGGAGGCAAGTCCCAGCCAGACGCACGGGCTCTCTACCGCCCCGCAAGGGGGGTTGTGGGGGGGAGGGAGGGGAAGGCTGCGGACTTTCTAGAAGACGGCACCAGGGGTGGCTGGGGGTGCTCCAATAAACTCACACTGACAGAATTTGGCTTCTCTAACCCAAAGCCGAGAGTCTGTCCCCTCACCCGACGCTCGACCCGCCACGCCCGCACCCCCCATCCCACCGCAGGCAAAGGGGCCAGGCATCCCGTGCGCCCGGAAGGGAGTGCGGCGCGGGGAGGCAGGGACCCTGGGTCTGAGCCGAGATCGCGGGCTGGACGGAAGGCTGCGAGCCGGGCCGAGCCTCGCAGGAAGGCGGGCAGCGCCTTGGGCCTGGGTACACGCCTCAAGCCACTCTCAGTCCTGGCGCCGCCTCCAAAGGGCCCCTGAGCCCTAGTTCTCGCTCTTTTCGTTTGAACAAGGTCTCCCGTGGGCCCGCGGCCTCCAAACCGTTTTTCCCGCGAGGACCCTCCTGGCCGCCGCGTAGGTCCGAAGCAAAAGGCCCGAAAGGCAGAGGGACAGCGGGGGCCACCGGGAGACCCCGCTGCCCTGGCCCTTGAGGGCGTGTGGCCGTGCCAGCCACGTGCGGCGCGGGCGATCCCGTGCTTCGCGCCGGTTCAGCAGGGCGGCCACCCCGAGCCCAGTGCCCCGAAACCTAACGCAACTCGGGGCGCCGCGGGGCCACTGCCATTATTCGTGTGAGTGGAATTCCCGCGCCCTGACCTGCCCCAAACGGTGGGCAACACAAAACCGTGGGTGCGGGGTTTGCAAGTGCCCGGCTGCGTCCACCGGCGACGAAACCGGTGTGTACGGGAGACAGGCGGAGGTAGCGGGGAGGCGCCGGGAGCCTGGGCGCACACCCGCCCTGAGCTGCTTACCCGCTTTCAACGAAACGCGCCTCCGAGGCCCGAGCACGAGGTCCGGCGGGAAGAGACGGCGCTGGGACGGCGGCCGGCCCACCCCTACCCTCGGGACGCTCCAAAGCTTTGAGCCCCGGGAGCGGATCTGCGGGGAGGGCCTGAGACGCGCAGCGCCAGGGCCCGAGTCTGCCTAGGGGATTTCTGCAGCTTTTATGGGCTGGAAAAATAAAGATTTTATTTAGAAAGCTTCTGGTCCTCTGGTTTGGCACCGAGCCCCGCCCCCTTCTCTGCTGGCGTTGGAAATAGTAGCCAAGGACCTCTTTCTACTTAGATCATCCCCTTTTTTCCTAAATAGCCCCAACCCAAAGTCAAGGAAGCCCTTGGGAGGCTGGTTCGGGCTGCTTGCCCCCTTCTCCCCAAAAGTCCCTCGAGTGGGCAATGTGCCCGCCCTGAGCAGGGCAATGGGTGCCATCCATGGGGGCCCTTCATCCTTGCCTTGGGGAGCTTCCGGCCCAGTTCCAGACACAAAGGCCCTAGAATGTCCCCGACCCAGAGTCATGGGGCAAAGGCATTCTCTCAGTGTGAGCTCACTGGAGCACACCCATCCTTCCAAGCCTGCTGCCGCCTTCCAGAAAGTGCGATCCCAGGGCCTTCCAGCCCATGTAGGAGGTGAAAGGAGCCAATGCAATGAAGCACAGAGTCCCACAGGTCTACAAAAGCCTTTTCCTTCCCAGCCATGGAGCTTCTCCTATTTGTGCCTGAAGAAATAGTAAGTGCAGGCCTCTCACGTATGCCGTAGGGGAGGAAGGAGTCTGAGATCCTGTGGATTGGGGTGGGGTGAGTCCAAGGCACCTGGCACCCTCTCCAGCAGCTGCTCTGAGCACTAGTACTGGGGACCGAGATTGCCTTAGGGTCAGGCTGGCGTCTGTTAAATCCTCACCGTCACCTCCCAAGTCCTCTGACCTGTGGGAAGGATGGTCAGGGAGGGGGCTTCCCAGCAAAGAAACACTAGCTGAGCTTGTAACCTTTTTAGGTGAGCAGGCACTCAGCTGCTGCTGCTGGCAAGATGTTCTAGCCCAGACCTGCTAGAACCGGTTGGTTTCCTGCAAATATGGGGGAGGGGAGAACTAGGGCATATGGACACACACCCATACGTTGGGCAAATGGGGTTACAGATTCTCTGTGCTTGCTCTGTAGTGACTTCATATGGCACACACTACATTATCCACCGAGGCAGGTCCCACTTCTGTTCGGGCCAGGCTGATTCTTAGCGCCCAGGGGTCGCCAAGAGGACAACGCTGGAAGGGATGATGAGTCTGAAGCTCCAGAAAATGAGCCTTAGCTGAACCTGGGCAGGACCCAGTTCTGGTGGAAGTTTACTCTTGAAACTCCAGGGGTCCAAGGAGGGGCAAATTCACAGTGGAAGCTATGGCTAAGGTTGCAAAGATTACCCGCTTTGCTAAGGTGAGTATTCTTAGACTCACCCCAACCCAGAACCAGCAAGGGCCCTGCAAGATCACTCAGGCCTCGGCTAATCCTGGGAGAGAATGAGGTGGAGCTGATCACAAATTGGCCCAAGGTTTCACACCAGGAAGTGATGCCCAGCCCCACTCACCTGCACCAGCCAGGTGCTTCCCACAGCCCTGGCCTGACATTGCCAGGATGTAAAGTGGCCATGGCAGAGCTGGAACCAACCTAGCAGTCATTAATCATGTGGCTAAAGTAGAGGTCTCGAGAAGCATAGGTGCCCCTTCTGGAGGGTCAGTCAAGCAGGTTCTGAAACTCAGGGTAGCCAGGGGTAAATTCTTCCCCAAAGCCAAGTCTGTAGCGAATCCTGTTTCGCAGCCCGTAGGACTCTGGAGAGAGTGGTCTGGATGTAGCAGGGCTCCTCCCAGTCCACGGATACAGACTCTGACAATGCCACCTGGATTTCTGCAGGGAGCTGTCCCTGGCCCTGGCTCAGAACATACTTTGATAGCCCTGTGGTCTCAACACACCAGGGCAAGCCCCCAGAACCAAAGTCTTAGGGACAGTCCCAGTGTTCCATTCTTTCATGCATGCAAACCCCCCCCCCAAAAAAACACACACACACACACTCCAAGACTTCTAGAACACTAGAGCAGGGGGGGGGAACTCTTGGGGGGAGGGGGGGCTGGAGGAACACTTAGAGGAATAGGAGTCTTGCTCATAGGCAACAAGCAAAGCCATAACTTGAACCCAGGGCTCTGAATTGCCATTCCAGTGCTCCTAGCACAAAACTTCCAAGAAAGCCTACAGGGGTGGGAATGAAGAAATGTTGCCTATACACAGGTTCCAGTCTTAAGCTGAGGACAGAGCCTGTCGGCTTGGGTCCTGACACCAGGAGCCAGATCGGCTCAGGCCTGCAACAGCTCATAGCCACGAGGGGAAACGAAGTAGAAAGGGCTAGTAGGGGAAGGAACTCAGGCCCTGGCTTTTCTAAACGTAGATAGCATCAGCAGCCCTTCACCCCGAGAACCAGTAACACGTGTTTCCACACCGTCCTGACAAAGAAGCAAAAAACAGGACCCCCTTTTTAAGCCCCTAATTCCCGAGCTCAGCGACCCGGCTCCCAAGCTGGAAGTGGCTGGAGCCCATTCCAAGTTGACCCGGGGGTGGGGTGGGGGTGGGGAGGGTCTTGCCTCCACTCGGTCCTCCGGAACTAGCCACGGGGAAAGTGCCACGACCGACCTCCTAGTCTCCGGGCCTTCGCCTGCCCGCGGGCAGACTGCGGGCGCTGCCGACCCGAGTCAACTTCCGTAGAAGCCACACGGAAGTGCTGGCGCTTCTCGGCCGCTCGATCCGTGGGACCGTGGGGTTAAGTCTGAGCCCCGCCCGGCAAGGACAGAGAGCGCGGGGCCGAGGCGGTTCCGGCCGCGGGGCAGCCGGCAGGGTTAGGAGAGGGGGGAAAGGCGGGATCCTCCAAGGAGCAGATTCTCA